ATTTTGGTTTCTTTCATCTGTATTTCTAATCTAGATATCTAGTTATAAGTATTCTTACTAAACCGTAATTCTGATGTTCTTTTAATTTCCAGCCTTCTTCCACAGTCACTGATTTTAGTACTTTGTCCCACTCCACTGGTATCCAAACCCTGCTTCCCAGTATAAAGCATGGAATACATTTCTAGTATCTTTATCCCAAAGTTTTACCATCTTCATTATAAAATAGTAATACCATAAGACTAAAATTAAAGTGAAATGTAAGGTGATGTTAGTTTACCTCCATAGATCTACTAGCACTTACTGTACAAATGTTTAAAGGGCATAAGAATTGTAACTTAAGCACCAAGGAGCTACAAAAAGGTATATGTTTAAGGTAAAGACTACTAAGTCTGCTGTAAATTCCAGCATTGTAGAATCATGAAATTCACTGGACTTTGTTTAAAACTGAAATATCCAAACAAGGATTTCAAGTTTCTTTCCCTCCCCCCATTGTAATATTTTCTTTCTATTTGTGGGAAAACAAAGTTTTAAAATGTATCTTATAGCCCACGAAACCATTGAGATTCATGGTTATTCTGATCTTTGCCAGAAGGAAATTCCTTATTTGGAAGTCCTTGTCTCCGCATTCACAGGACTTAGTGTGGGTGACCATTCTGTTAGTTCAGAAGAAAATAAGATTTAGGAAGTCACCATGTCAAAGAGAACTGATTCCCTTGCTTGGATGAATTTCAAGGAGGAGTTTTGATTACCAGGACTGAAATCTTGATTATATCTCTCTGTTATAGCTGGGAATCAGTACAGCAGATAGAGCATTGGGATGGTGTATTTGGTATGCCTGTGTTGCTGTTGAGGGAAATAGCTGAAACCTTTTCAGGACTGGCAGTTTGATTGCTAGGTCTGCAGTTCTATAATCTGCATTCTCTATAATTATTTGGTGTATGAGTCCCATAAATGAAGCAGATTTTGAGTGATCTGAGCCTATGCTTCATTGGTGTTTTGAATTAAGAACCCCAGAAATTCTTCATCAAGTGGTGTCCCTGGGGGCGCTCCACTCAGGTCTCGGTGCGTGCCTGCGCCGGGGATCAGAGATTTTTGGTAGCAGTGTGTCTCATGCTGTGCCTGCGCACACAGCAGCCCCTCCCTTCCTCCCCCCCCCCAGGCTTGTGGAGTGCGCACGCAGCGCGACTCCCGTCAGTTCCTTTTCAACCATCCCTGGCTGAAGACAGAGTTCACAGCAGTGCTCTTCTTCCTGACAGGAAAAATTGAAATCCTCTATTATTTTTAACTCTTTACGTCATAATTTTGCTTAGTTTGACCTTTTTCAACATTGACTTTGCTGAAAAGGAAAGAAAAAAAAAGCAGCAGCTGCCGCAGCTTTTCTTCACCACAACAATGCCAGGTTCCTCCGGCTTCAAAAAATGCAATTCCTGCAGAGACTCAATGCCTACCTCAGATGGCCATGTCTCGTGTCAAATGCCTGGGTGAGTCTCATGTGGCACGGAAATGCCCTCATTGCTTGAATAGGATGGCAAGGGCAAGAAAAGACCGCGAAACATGGCTCAAAACTATTATCTGGGCAAAGTCTCTTCAATTACCAGGGGACAAATCAGAGCAGGTGCGGGCACAGCAAAATCCCTCGGGTAGGGCAGCTTCATCTTCCCACAAAGGTTGTAAAGCTGCAAGGGCTTCCCTGGCACCCTCCTTGTCCAAGTTGTCTAGAGCTTCTCATCCCCCAGTGCCATCAGTCTCTGGTACCGCAGAGAAACGCAAGTGAGTGCTAGCCAGGAGAGCTGAGCACAAACTAAAACTGCCACATCAACTGGCGCCACTGAGGCAGCAGCTTCAGATAAGCTGCATATGCCTCCTCCATTAGCTCCAGTGAGTTCTCCCTCCCCAC